CTGAGGTTGAGAATCACTGCTCTAGAGGTTCAGCAACTCAAAGGAAAAACAAGAGAAAACCAGAATCAGTTTCATCTTTTGGAAAGATCCTGCCACTCTTTCTCCTTTCTACCTGGCACAGCGGGGAAAAACTAAAACAGCGTTCCTGTTCTCTGATTGTTTCAACAGGAAGAAATATAACTTTCGCCTCCAGGGTTTCTGCCACATAGCTGATGCCTTCCTGATTAATTCCCATCAGCTAAGAGACTCAACCTTGAAATGGGGACTCCGTAGCTTAAAGTGCACCCAAATATTTTTCAGGCTCCCCAGTTCTTGGAAAGTCATGGGTATGCCCCAACAGCCGTGAGATCTTATAAAAAGAGAGAGGAAGCTATTTGGTCAAAAAGAAAATGTTGTCTCATTCTTAGATGAGGTGTATTTAGCACATGGTTAACCATCTTTATTGTTCTGAGTTGTAGATTTGAGCCATGCTATTTCATGCTTGGATTGGGTAGAGGCAAAACAGCTGAGAAGCTCAACTAGACTATTGTTCCATGTTGAATACATTCTCAACACACTGCCAATCCCACATTTCCCACCCCATCTAAATCATCTGCATGTCAAAAACTTCAGTGTGGTTTTGACCATATGCTTGCAACCATAGATGTTCCCTCCTAACCATGATGATGCCAATAGACACAACATGCATCATTACATCACAGCACAAGGTCCTGACTTTCATATGAGAGACACAACATTGCACGCCTGTACATAAGGGTCAGGGTTTGCATTGTAACACTGTAATCCACATTTTGTCACTTGACTCTTCTTGCAGTTGGCCATGTTCCCAAGTCTAGAGCTCACTACTTCCTGTTTGGTCCAAGTCAGCCAACAGCTGACCAGTGAGAATGCTAGCCAATCAGTGTTTAGTTCCTGTGCTTCAAACTTATTAATTGCCCATCTCTTGAGCTTCCAATCAAAACCCTTCCCTCTTCCTTCATAACAAGAGAAGCAAATATGTTTCCTTCCTGCACATGCCCGCACCATTAATCCATTTGTCTATTTGCGAGCATTTCCTGATGGTTTGCAAATATTCCTCTTGCAGCCCTTGGGAAGACTGGGGAATTTTGATTTTTTTTTAATGTACTGAGGAGCCTGCAAAGTCATCTTCTCTCCATGGCACCAGCTTAGTCCCAGAAGAGACATGTGTTGTTCATTGAAGCAATCCCAGTGTGAGCTTTAGGAAATCAAACTACATTCAAGAGCTCTTCCTTAAGCTGGCTATGTGGCATGACCTGATGAAGCAGGAATTGTGGCAGGCAAGTTGTCCAATGAGAAGAAAAATGATGACAAACCCAGAAAAGGGTTGCTTGAATTTCATCCATGGCTGAAGCATAGAAAGAAGGGGAAAACCTGGTTTTTCAAGAATGGCAAGAAGCCAGTTTTCAGAAGTTTGAGTTAGACTGGCA